GCAGACTTTATGGGCGACAACACATAGCATACACATAAAAAATGTTAACAAATGTTGGTTCTAAGAATTTTTTTGAAGGCATAAACATTTTAATATCATTTAAAATTTTATAAAAAGACAATAAATTTGTAAAAAGTCATTAATTTAAGAATTTACTATGCTTTCATGGTACAACATCGCCAGTTCATACCATGTGACCTCAAATAATTTCATCTCATGTGAGCTATGCTACAAAAATCTAATTCTCTCAGTAATTATCTATATTAATTTCAAGTTAAATCTTATTTTGGGATACAGGTTTAAATGCAAGAATTATTTTGATTCGTACGAATAGCTTACTTAGAAATTATGTAAAACCGCAGTGCTTTACTTCGCTAGTGCATTCTCATTATATTTGATGAATTTAACTCTTAACTTTGCCTTTTCCATATTTTTCACCTTCGGGTGAGCGGTGCGATTGCATCCTAATCGACTTAATTACCGCGGATGGCCTTACGGCATAAAACTGAACTATCTGGTAAAAATTATATTTAATTGTATGCCAGTATTGAAAGAAACAATCAATCTGATAAGAAATGGCTGCGACTTGTTTTGAAAATGAGGTGTAAAAGGTTACCAGCGAGGATATTCCGTTCGGCATCAGTTGCACCATTATTGGCTACTTTATCGCCAGCACCGGCAAAATGGAAAAGTAACAAAATTTCTATACGTATCATGAAAACTTATTGTACTTGTAGATCCACTATATGGAAAATATTGGTAATATGATTAAAATGATATTGTGAGAATCGTAAAGGCATCATCTCATGTCAGATGGTTGGGCCATGTGTTCAGACAGGGATCGTAGTCACATTTTAGTTAAAAAAATAAGCACCTATAAGCACTTTTCAAGCACATTTTAAGAAAAAAAATTAGTACCTGTCTAATTACACTGCTCGACACTGAAAATGCAACACCAAGAAGGAGTAGTCAGAAAGTGATGAAATTTGGAAAAAAGAGACAGCAAGCAGAAATAAGTGATCTTTATTTCAAAATGATAGTCAGAATACAGAGCGAGAATGGCGTCAGTTCAGTAGGATGTAGGACCACCGAGGACAGTGATGCACGAAGAAACACATCTAGGCATAGCGTCAATAAGAGGGCGGATGGTGTCCTGAGGGATGGCTCTCCATTCCCTTCCAACCATTTGCCATAGTTCGTCTTCTGAACGAGGCAGGGGCTGAGTCTGCAAGCGGCGTCCAATCGCATCCCACACAGGCTCGATTGGTGACAGGTCAGGAGAGTAGGTGGCCAGGGAAACATCTGTATACCTTGCAGAGCAAGTTGGCAGATGCTAGCACTGTGTGGTCGGGCGTTATCCTGCTGAAAAATTGCATTAGGCAGCCCCTAAAGGTACGAGATTTCCACCAGCCGCAGTACATTATCCAAGTATCGTTGGACCATCATAGTGCCCTCAATACAAACTAGAGGTGACCTGGAATCATATGCAATAGTGCCCCAAACCATTATGCCATGTTGTCGCGTGGTGGGATGTTCCGCAGTTACTGCCGGATTAGATCTGTCTCCACGTCGACGCCACACATGTATGCAGTGACTGTCAATGGATAAACAGAAGCGTGACTCATCTGAAAACACGACGTTTCGCCATTCTGTCATCCACATCCCTCCAGTCCGGCACCATTCTAAATGTTGGCGTCTATGCTGTGGAGTCAAAGGCAGTCTTCTTAACGTACGCCATGAGTGCAGGCCACATTCAACCAATCGACGGGAAATGGTTCTGGTCGATACGGGAACATCCAGGGTATCTTGCACATGCTGCAGAATCACGGTACAAGTGACTTGCGGGACCGCAACAGCTTGTCGGTGGATGCGTCGATCCATGTGTGTTGACGTCACTCTGGCTGCACCCCTCCTTCTTCCCACATTTCCTTGTTCCAACCATGTTCGCCATAGCCCATGCACCGTGCTCGCAACCATGTTGGTATCAGCTGCGATTTGATGTAAGAACCAACCCGCCCTTCTGAGTCCGATCACAATACCCCTCATAAAATCGTCTATCTACTGGAAGTGCCTTCGCTGACGGCGGCCTGGTATTCTCTCCTATTACACGTATCCTCCGGGACTAAAACCAACTTTCTTCGATAATACGTCTGGCAGAAATAACGACACGAATATTGCCCATTCTGCATGTTTCTTCCCTTATACCTTACTTCACGTGTGTCGGAAAACTGCGCATTTCACATCATTCGCGTAACTCAGTGGCATGCGTCTACTCTAATTGTCTTACTACTTGTAATTTAAAATATGAGAAATGCAGCATTTGTTAAGAGAGAATGAGCATTACCTTAACCATGGAAAACAATGACTTTTTTTTTTAAATTTTAAATAACAGTTCAATTTACAAAACTAGTTTACAATGAGAGGAAAAAAAACTATGCAGAACTAAACTACATTACAAGATTTAATGACGAAATTTCTGTTCAAAATAGAGAAAATAAGTAATAATAAATGATATTTATTGTATTCGCTTGGCACCTAATAATAAATACAATTTATTTTTTCACTCATATTAATATTTAAATAATTTAACTTAAGTCACAATTCTGAACATTTTCTAAATTTTCACTGTATAACAGTTTTTCCTTAACAGATATTGCAAGCAAAGTAATTTATGTAAAAAAGAGGAACATTTCTTAAATCAGAAGACGAGAAATTGCTTCATGCAGTAATCCTTTAACAGTAAAAGCCAAACTAACCCGCATACTCGGAAATTGCCAAATATTCCGGGTAGTCGAGTGTAACTGGAAAAAGAAGAGAGGGTAGATTGTAGCCGTTCTTTAGATTTTTCGGGTAAACAAATTTTGACATTTTTATATGTGCATCATATAAAAACAGACCAACAGAGCTGAAATATATTTTGCTTAGCAAGCACAGTACAACTCTTTCAAGTGTTCATAAACAAATCTCAGACTGAACACCAAAATTAATTATCTGTGCAAAATATCGCAAACGTTATTGCGCAATACGCAGGCTGTAATTCTTCAGTACGTTATATTATGCAATCGGAATCAACAGCTGCCGGTATTCAGAGAATGAAGAACTAAATAAAGGAAAAGAAATCTAGGGTGTTTTTCGTTCTAATTTTGAACAGAATGCATTAAATTTCTGGAACAAAATCATTCTTTGCATGGGTTGGCAGACTGCAGAACTTCTAGTCCTATTCAATCCAGATTGGAGAGTGACCCAAAAAAAGTACGTTTCTTGTTTTGCAGCAAACTGTAATGGTTTCAATATTTGAGATTTTGCGGAGAAAGGGAAGAACCTCCGTACTGTACAATGTATTGGCAAAAAAACAAAATTATTTTGACTATTCGATTACTCTCCCTTTACGAAAGCCATTCCGAATATTATTCCTTAGAAAGCTAATCTGTGTTAAAACACACTTACCCATTTTTGGAAGTTTATCTATACTTCAGCAGTTACTGCAACTATATTATTATAAATATTCATATATATGCTCATAATATAAGCATAACAATCATAATAAATGTGAATATGTTTCAATATTTGAGATTTTGCGGAGAAAGGGAAGAACCTCCGTACTGTACAATGTATTAGCAAAAACAACCAAATTATTTTGACTATTCGATTACTCTCCCTTTACCAAAGCCATTCCGAATATTATTCCTTAGAACGCTAATCTGTGTTAAACACACATACCCATTTTTGGAAGTTTATCTATCCATTTTTGAAAGTTTATCTATCATTTTTGCAAGTTTATCTATATTGCAACTATATTGTTATAAATATTCATATATATGCTCATAATATAAGCATAACAATCATAATAAATGTGAATATGAACTGAACACGTAGAACGAGAATGCAAATTATTAAAATCTTCATAGAAATTCAAACGTGTGTAGCATTTGGGTGGGAGGAAAAGAATACCGAGTGTATCAGAATTTTCTACCGCTTTCGTAATTCTTTGACCAATAGAACGCCGTGCACCTGTCTGTACTCTTGCGCGCACCAAAGGTTAGTTAATGCAGAGAAAGAGAAAAAGCTATTTCTGGGAGTATGATTCACCATATGAGAAAAGTTGTTTTAGTTTCAGCTTTGGTACGGGAAAAAATGTGCGCTCATTTAAAAAAAAAACCTAAAAGCAAAATTAAGCACTAAAAAGAAAAAAAAAATAATAATAAGGGCTTTAAAGAAAAAGCAAGCACCTATAAGGGCTTTTATATTTTTTTCAAATATAAGGACTTATAAGCACTTGTAAGAACTGCTACGAACCCTGTTAGATATGATGATGCATTTCCAATCAATAAGATAATCTTTACTAGAATTGAGGGAGTAAGATAAAAAGGCAGACCACCCACTAGAGATGGCTAGATGATGTCGACAAAAATTTAAGGTTAACCGGAGTTAACCGATGGAGGACTATTGCGCTTAATGGGGTGAGGTGGAAGAAACTTGGAGAGACAACCTTGGTCTATATAACAGGCTGTGGAACTTATGAAGAAGAAGAAGCATGTAGATCCACACATATATTTACAACATAATCTTGTAATTATAAATATTACAGAATTTTCTTGACTTGGATCAAATAAACATATATTTTTTATGAATTACCATGAATAACATTTTACTGCACTCATGTATTACTGCAGCTACCTTAGTAGAAGTTGCCAAATTTTCCAGACGATTTAAACTCTGGTAACCATGCATTTAATTTTCAGATGATTCCTCAATTTTAACAAGAAAAATGACCATTTTCATGGACATTGTTGCTGTTTTATTCCAAGAAAATGAAAAGTCATGAAAATATTTCTTAAACTGAATTTCTTAAACTTGTGGCATTTTATCTATAATGGAAGAAACTAGAATAAAATTTCTGCACGTGCACAGTATTTACCCCCAAAATCACTCAACAGGAAAAATCTTTACAAATGCATTCTTAAATAGATCACCACACAATTTCACTAGAACAAAAGATATACAAACCTGTATCAAGTAGCTTTAATGATTGATTTTCAAGTTAAATATAAAATATGAATGTATTAATTAGCATGTATAAAGAATAATCTGCAATTATGCCATCATTTATTTTTCTTCTGAATAAAAATGCCAAACTGTGCCAAGGGGGCTCCACTAACAAGTAAGTACATATTTTAGACGTGTGAAATTCAACAGCTTTTATATCTCAATATATTCATATGCTAGCATGTACTAAGGAAACATTATAATATAATGTCTCAACTAAAGGTATATTATAAAAGCACAGTAAAGTAATAATTGTGGCAGTTTTCAATTTCTTAGCCAGATAATCTCAAAGCTTGAGCTTGTAGTTATTTAAGCCTTTATACACCATATTCGTAACATGATTTTACTGATTATCTAATTAAATAAAGAGCAATATATTCATTCAAACTTTCACCGGAATTGTTGGTGCAGTCGGATCTCCACCAACTCTCATGGTCGGTGAGAGAATACGTAAATACCGCGATTTCCCACTAGTGTGAATATGCGTATGTGAATTTAAGCTACCTTTCTGAGCAAATGATTTGCAGCATATTTCACATTTATATGGTTTTTCACCTGTGTGAGTACGTGTATGTTTGTTTAAGTCAGACCTGCATGCAAATGACTTACAACACATATCACATTCATATGGTTTTTCACCTGTATGGGTACACATATGTAGGCTTAAGTGAGCTTTGCGAGCAAATGTCTTCTTGCATACACCACACTCGTGTGGCTTTTCACCTGTATGGATACACATATGCATATTTAAGTGACCTTTACATGAAAATGACTTGCTACAGACTTCACATACATGTGGTTTCTCACCAGTGTGGATACGCATATGTCTGTATAAGTTACCTTTACGTGCAAATGATTCAGAACATACATCACACTTATGTCGTTTTTCATTAGTGTGGGTGAGCATATGATCCTTTAAATAACCCATGCATATATACGATTTTCGACATATATTGCATTCATGTGGCTTTACACCTTTGTGAATAAGTATATGTCTTTTTAGGTCACCTTTATAGGCAAATGACTTGTAACATATATCACACTCATATAACTTCTCACCTGTGTGCACACGCATATGTTTTAATAAATTACCTTTGTACGCAAATGATTTGGAACAAACTTCACATTCAGGTAGTGTCTTGCCTGTGTGGATCTGCATGTGCTGCATTAAAGCAAATTTGTGAGCAAATGACTTCCAACAAACATCACATTCATGTGGTTTCTCACCTGTGTGAATGTGCACATGTGCATTCAAATTATGCTTCTGTGAAAATGACTTACTACATACATTACATAAATATGGTTTCTCATTGGTGTGGATATGCTTATGCTTTGTTAAGTCATATTTGCATGCAAATGTCTTGCAACAAATATCACATTTATGTGGCTTCTCATCAGGATGAATGTGCATATGTTGCATTAAAGCATCCTCACATTCAAAAGACTTAAAACATAAATCACAATCATACAGCTTCTTGGCAGTTTGAATACAAATATGTTTCTTCAAGTTTTCTTCATGTGAAAATGATTTGCAACAGGTATGACAGATATGTGGTCTGCCACTTTGGCAAGTGTACATACTTTTCTTTAAGTCGTGTTGGTATGAACGTGACTCACTATATATATTATTCAAATATTTTTGCTCTTCTACAAATTCTGCTTGCATAGTTATATACTTAATAGTTTTTGATTAAACAGCTAATATGCCAAGACTTTTTTTTAACAAAGCATACTAACTTACTGTGTAGAATACCACCCCTCCCCCTTTTTTTTAGTAAAACACTGCTAAATATCACACACAGATACAGATTGTTTCTAATTTGGTTTGCAATTCATGAACATGCATAATTTGTACCTGCTTAGATGGAAATACAAATATATATATAGCAAGCATTAATGTTTTAATCGTATTAATATTTATTGATCTATAATTAAGTCATTGCAACACACGTTCACATAGTACATCGTTTATTCCACACGAACATTAACGGAATTCGTTGTTGACAGGTTATCTTCACGAGAAAAAAGGGGGGGAAAATGGGAGGAGTTACGAGATTCTCTGGGTTGCATGAAGATCTACTAATAACTTTCTCGCCAAGTAATTTGGCGTCATCGGCTCATTCTCATTTCTGGAACTGTGGTTGAAGCAAAGAATCTGTAAGGAGGTTGAAGAGTGGTCTGTTTTTGATCCGTAAGTATGCTAAAATTCTACTATAAATTTTTAATACCTTGTTTTCCAAATTTACACATTTTGCTTGATTAATTTGAAGTTGTTTGTTTTTAGATGTGCGCAATAGCAAATTTCAGGTTATTCGTCAAATAACCAAGGTTTCTATTTCTCTGGTAAGTGTTTGCTATATATCTTATATTTATTATTAAATATTAAAAGTAATTTTTGCATGCGTATATTTTTTCATGCTCATTTTCTGTTTTATGTGCTGGTAGATTTCTGGCCGATTACCGTGTTTTTAGATAAATGCGCCATTTTCATTTAGGTCGTGTAGAGATTACTGTTTCCATTTTTTTTAAGTAACCACGAAAATTCTAACACATGTAAAAGCTTTACTAGTAAACTTTTGATTGAGGATATTTCAAGTAAATGTGCCATTTTTACTGAATTTGTGTAGTAGAAGTTGCTCTTCGTTATGCCTTTTTTGAGCCAATATGTTAATTAGTTGTATTCTTTTAATGTGTTGTTTTGCAGATTAATGCAGTTTATTTGACAGATGTGTAATGCTGTTTGTTGAAAAATGCATTAGAACCAATGATGGTAAGATCTTGGCCTAGCAAATTGGTAAAATATTACCTGCTCTTAATTACTGAATCATATTGTAGGATAAAATCTGCTGTTTATGTATGAAAATTTGTACTTTATCTCTGATTATGTGGTATATGCCCAGAATTTCATTATTAATGATCGATTCATTAAAATTACTATTTTTAATTGTCTACTTTGTTTTGTGTTGCTGCTGCTCATTCTGCATTTTTTTTTTTTTTTTTTTTTTTAGTAGATATAAAAATTAATTCTTGTTTTTTATTTTTTTTCCCTCAATGTCTCTTTTTATTGTGCTGGTAAATTTTTGAGAAAATTTCAAGTAAATGTGCCGTTTTTACTTAGTTTGCGTAAAAATTGTTCTTCTTTATGCCTCTTTTGAATAAATATGTCAATTCTTGTTTGTATTATTTAATATCTTGTTTTGCATATTAACACAGTTTATTTGACAGATTGAGATGCGATTTGTTGAGAATATTCATTAAAACTAATGCGGGTAAGTTCTTGGCCTAACAGATTGGTAAAAGATTTTCTGATCTTAATTACTGAATTTTTTATTATATTCTAGGATAAAATTCTGCCTTTTACGTGTGTGAAAATTTTTATTTTATCTGATTATGTGCCAAATTTAATGATTCAAGAAAAATGCCATTTCTGTGTGTAGCTAGTTCTAGTTCGTTGTTGCTGTTCGTCATGCAGTTCTTTTGAATATGTATCAGTTTGAAAATTTATTCTTACATGTGTATTTTTCTCATCCATTTTTGCTGTGCACTTTTCCTGTGAATATTATTTTTATTTAGTCTATATAGAATTTGCTCTTTTTCTACCTTTTTTGAATAAGTATGATAATTAGTTCTTGTTTGTGTTATTTTAATGCCCAACAATTCACTTTCGAATGTTTGTTAATTATAGAAGCTAATTTTACTTTTTGCTTGCAGTTTTTAACTCTGTACCTTTTATCCAGACATAAATAACATCTGCCTTTTCATTTCTAAACTTAAAATATCGCAGTCGGGAAAAGGTTTCAATTTGAAAGGTAGTGGCTTTTCTAATTGCAAGAATTTCTCTTCAGAATTATAATTAACATAGGCTGTGCATTCTCTGCTAAGTATTTCATTTCTCGAAAAGTCTGGTAGACCTTTTAAATCGCAATTTTAATCTTTAATTTTTTGGATATAATTAAGAACGAATTCATTTGGAAGCAATTTAAAAAATAAAGGCATTAAAATATTTCTGTATAAATCAGTATGGTACTTTTCTGTTTCGCCGGCGCAAATCTCGCCAAGCGCACTTTATTGGCGACAACACATAATACACATAAAAAATTGTCAAAAAATGTTGGTTCTAAGATTTTTTTATTTTAAAGGCATAAACATTTTAATATCGTTTAAAGTTTTGTAAAAAGACAATAAATTTTTTAAAAACATTAAAAGAATTTAAGCTTTCATTTACTATGCTTTCATGCAGGTTCGTAAACACATGAACAGGTGACCCAAGTGATCTCATTTCACGTAATTCTTTGCTCAAACTACGCTACAAAAATCTAATTCTCTCAATGATTCAGTAATTATCTACAATAATTTCAAGTTACATTTTAATATATGGAATACAAGTTTAAATGCAAGTATTATTTCAGTTCGTACGAAGCTTACTTAAGAATTATGTAAAACCCAGTACTTTACTTTGCTAGTGCATTCTCATTAGAATTGATGAATTTAACCCTTGATTTTATCTTTTCTATATTTTCGCCTTCGCTGAGCTGTGTGATTGCATCCTAATTGACTTAAATACCGCGAATGGCATTAGGGCATAAAATTGAACTTTCTGGTAAAAATTCTATGTAATTGTATGCCAGTATTGAAGTATTGAAAGAAACAGTGGCGTAGCTAGGGTGGGGCAAGAGGGGACATCTGTCCCCGGGCGCAGCATCAAGGGGATGCCAAATTAATGCTACGAAATTTTTTAATGAATGTTTTGCATTCTTGACATATAGAAAAGGGCGTAAATTCTTCAGTTGTCCCCGGGCGCTGGAATCCTAGCTACGCCACTGGAAAGAAACAATCAATCTGATAAAAATGGCTGCGATATGTTTTGAAGATGAGCGTAAAAAGTTACCAGCGGAGATATTCCGTTTGGCATCTGTTGTACCATTTTTGGCGAAGCATCTCCCAAAAGTCTTGCTATTTTTCAGATTTCAAGTTTGACTTCTGTGCCTTGTTTTGCAGGTTAACATGCTTTATTTGATTGCATAGAAGTTAACTTTTCCTAAAAAGGCCTTAATTATAATATCATTATTGGTAAATTCAAGGCTTAAACAGATTGGTGAAATGTTTGACCTTAACTACTGAATTCTGCTAATTATATGGGATATGTCCATAATTTAAATTTTTTCCTAGTAAATCGATCAATTGGAACAAAATGTGAAATGAATTTATTAAAGAGTATGTCATTTGCTGTATTCATAAATTTCCAGCCATGTGTATCATTTAATAATTATTTGTTTTTAGTATAAAAAAAGTAGTAGCAGATGGTCCTACCAATTTGAATAAATATGGAATTTAGTTTTTAATAGTTTTATTTATTTCATGTAATTTATGATATTAAAGTATAAAGGCTATGCTCGTGGATTTTCTAGTAAAGGCAAGTTTCCAATAAATAGCAGTTTTTATTTGAGTATGGTGGTTGAGCTATTTATCCAGCATTTTTTTAGTATGAAGACTAATCATACTAAAAAAATTTGAGCATTTCTTTCAAGTAAAAAATCAGTGTGTTGTTGTAGCTGTGCCAGTATCATTCTGCATAATGACAAAAGTTCATTAAATATGTTAGTGACATTTAAGTGTTGGTTTTGATTATCATGCAATACTGAAACTAAATTCAGAATTTCATTATTGACAAAAAAAAATTTTTTTTTTAATTCTGGGTATGAATGTCTGAGCATGTGTGTAAATTTTAAGTCATTCTGGATTTTCTTTCATTTGATTAATTCGTTAAACTTGCTGTTATTTGTAAAAAATTTTCCTATTGAACTTTACCTTTCGTTTTAGTGGCACAGGTGATAATAGATTTTTAACCCCCCCCCCCCCAAAATGAAAATTTCCAAGTGTGGCTATAGAGAGTATGCTCAAGTTCATAAAATAACTTAGTTTTTCTTTATCATCACCTTTCTGTTCGAGAAGCTTTTCTGCAGCATACAGTGACCATCCCTTTTCTATTATAAGAATACAGTCAAAAGTCTTTAATCTGGACGTCCATAATCCGAAATGATCTGGACCTCAAAGCTACAAACTTTCTGCGCATGCGCATATGCGTTTATGCATGCGCGTTTAATGTATAACGGACGGTATAAGCTAAGCTAAAATTATCTAATTATCTATTTCAGTTAATGTTGCAGATTGCGTTGTTCCTTAATCTTCTATATGGATCCGGCTTATTTTTTTTTTGTGGACTGTTAGAGCAATTTTATAAAAGTAAGCTTGAACTTTAGATTATGTCAAAAAGAATTTCTGATTCTGGAGCTGCCGAAGAATCTACAAAGTGAAAGCATGTTTTGATGTCCATCAAACAAAAAGTGGAATTGCTGCAAAAAAATGTATAAAGGCATATCCTTTGTTTCTCTAACCATTCCAAAATCTGTTTATCAATTTTACATCTCTCTGCGGGGGGGGGGGGGGGGGGAGAGGAGGAACATCACGGCGCACAATGAACTGGAAGTTGATCTGTCAGCACTATCCTTATATTCAGGGCAGATGTTTTTATTTTATTTGGCTTATAATTCCTTACTAAATGTAGTATTTCATCTCAATGTACTCAGTTTTTTATTATGATTTAATCAAATTTCTCATCATTATATTACGGATACACATCAAATAGTTTTCTGATTGCAATTTTCTAATTTCGATTATGCGTAATGTATTCTTTACGCATGCGCTTTGAAAGAAATGTTTAATAAAGTAAACAAATAAATAATTTTTTATTGTATATTTTAATACCCTTTAGATCATAATTGCTCTTTTTTTCATAAATTAAGTTTTCATATTTTTAATTTTATGTTTTCTTCATGCCATCTTACCAGATTTAAATTGATGATCTGTAATCCGGAATCGCCGAAGTCCCGACGAGTCCGGATTAAAGACTTTTGAGTGTAGTAATTTTAGAAATTTATCTGAATGTCTCCTGTGGACTTTCATTTAATAGATAACTAAAGCCAGTATGGAAATTAGGACATTTTGATATTGAAGAATAATTCATTGCTGCCTACTCTCCTTTTTTTAATTTTTAGTCTTAACAAA